TGAAGAATATTTTTTAGCTAATGTTATGTATAAGTGATGTACATATTTCAGAGATAACATTTTCTATTACCAAGTATCCTGGGTTAAATGGTGTGTGCCCCCAAAGCTAATTTCCGCCTTAGAATCTCAGATTGCAACCTTATGCAGTGAAATGGGGTCACTGTAGTCATAATATGTTAAAATGAGGTCATACTGGAGTAGAGTGGGTTTTCAATCCAATATTACCAGTGTCTGTTCTTTTAAGGAGACAGCCATGTGAGTACAGACATGCACAGAGGAGAGATGAGGTGATGAGGTGAAGACACACAGACAGGGCATGGTGGCCAGGTGACCATCGAAGCAGAGATCAGAGTGATGCATCTATAAGCCAAGGAATGCCAAGGATTGGTGCCAACACCAGAACCTAAGAGGAAGACATGGAACAAATTTTCCTCAAGGGTCTTCAAAGGGAGCATCACCCTCCCAACACCTGGGTTTTCAGCTTTCAACCTAGAGAACTATGAGAGAATACACTTCTATTGCTTTAAACCACCCAGTTTGTGTACTTCCCTTACAGGAGCCATGGGAAACAAATATACCATGTGAATTTCTGTGTTTTGACTCAATGAGAAAAAAGATTTGTTCCTCCAAGAACACCTCAAATATACCCCCTGATAGTCCTAATAGATTTCATTACAACATCTTCCTGTTTGGGGCAGATTGTAGAAGTTTTAAATGCTTAGTATGAGAGCTTTCAATGAGTAAATTATGTAAGTACATGTTGTGAATTTTCCAGTCTTAAGCCTGATAATTAAACCACATTTTCCTTTGGGTATTTGCTCAGCTTTACAACCTCCACACAATGACTGATGATTCTAAACCCAAACCCAATGAGAGGCTCCTTTCGGCAGTCCAGTGGGAGGCCTTGGTTGGATTCCAATCTGGAGGAATTAAATCATCTATGAGGATCCTATCCCTTCCCCCTGACTCTGGTAATTTCCAATTGAAGAGCCTGTCCGGTGAATCATTAGCTGCAATTGTACCCAATCTCAGCAGCAAGCAGAAGCATGGCCAGGCCTGTCTGACACAGTCCCATTCACATCAACACCATGAGATGACCCCGTGGCCAGTTTCCTCAGTGATATATTTTTGGCCTCTGAAACCAAGGGACAAAATTACAAAACAGTAATTCTCTGGTTCTTTGTGTTGCAACCCCAGTCTATGAGTCAATGTTCTCATTTACCTGCTCATGATACTGCTCTCATTCTTTCATCATCTTCAGAGTCCACCCATGGTTTTAGTTCCTTATCAGCTCCCCTGGGACACCCAGCTACTTTCTCTCCTGCCAGGGTTGAAATCAAGATGCAATTGTGTCCTAGCACCTCCCTGAGATGGGACACAGCTGGCTGTGTAGTCCCAGCCCTTCCTTACACTCATCCCCTGATGACTGTCCCTCTCAGTAATGAACTTTCCTGGTGGCTTAACTAGCCCATTGACTAACAATGACTCAAAAGGCAGAGAAAATTATTAATAAAAAAATCCAAGTAAACCAAAAATGGAATAATTCCACTCAGGACATTTTGTAGAGGTGTGAAAGATTATGTAAAAATTTAGCATTAAGATGGCAAATCTTCCGACTTTGACAAGCCACTATTAGGGTCTGCTTTCACTGGCTTTATACTTCATGCACCTCAACTGTAATTCAGTGTGGAAAAATGTTGTTTATGGGCTTGTGTTCCTGCCCCTGAGTGTATGTATTTCTTTAAGGCAGGACTATTTTATACCTTTACATGGTAAATAAATATCTGCATAGATTTTTAAGGAATTTAGACCTGCCCCCTGGACCACATTGATTCATCACTTCTATTTTTTTCCACCCCATACCCTTAGCCTTTGCAAGCTAGTTTGCAAATTCACCCAAAACTTGATCATCATTGACAACCCAGGGGCCAGATTGCTTGAGAGCTTCTAGCCACGATCTTATTTTGGGGCACGGTGGCAACATTTGGACAAGGCAAGGGTCAAGAAAAAGAGAGCCTGTCATTTAAAGCAGTGATTTTCCAAGTGTGGTCCTGGGACCAGCAGCAGTACCTGGGAGCTTGTACAACATTAACCCTTGAAACTTGCCCTAGACATCCTGAAGCAGATACTCCATGGATAGGGCCTGGCAACCTGTTAGAATAAGCCCTCACTCTGATGATCCTGATGCACACTGAAGTTTGAAGACCACTGACTTAAAGTCATGTCAGCATGGAAGAACCAATATCAGTTACCTCTTCTTGCTGTGTGGGAGGAAGAATGTTCACCTCCCAGAAGTTGACTCCTAGGGGTCAGAGCCCAAGGCCACCTTTGGTGTGGAGCTTCTAGCTGTATACATACAGCCTGTAGCAGAAGTGCCAGCTGCTCTGGGACCTCAGCCTTGTTCTTTGGGTTACTCAAGAGCCTCTCGCAAGAGGATAAGATGCAGAAGGATTTTTAAATGGCCCAGTCTGTCACACTTTTAAAGCTAGTCCATCATTTTATGCTCAGGCAGGAGGCCTACTTATAAAACTCACCAGAATCCCATACAAGGCCATCAGGAGGCTGAGAATTGGGGAAGAGGGGCAGGAACATAATAAAGTGTCCTTTCTTAAGTGAGTGAATTTCTCAAATCAGCCTGGAGGCCTTGGGAGAGAGAGAGAATTTGAAGCCCCCTCATACTTAATTTTCTCTTCTTTTCTTTTTTCTTTTTTGTATTTTTTTCCATTACCATTTAGTCCCATTATACTCCCCTGCCCCTGCCCCTGCCCCGCAATCACCACACTGTTGTCCATGTCTGAGTCCTTTTTCCTTTTTGCTGAGTCCCTGTACCCCCTAACCTCCCTTCACCCCTTTAGCTGTCCTCCTGCTCTTTATCTATAAGTCTAATTAATTTTCAGTAACATATATGGCAAATGACGGAGCAGGATCTATGGTTTTTCAGACCAAAGTAACTTGTGGTAACAACAGCTTTAATGTAGATGCTTGCTAAACTGTGGGTAAGGAAGTGGGGTGGGGTGAGAAGGGAGAGATCAAATACTAAAAATCTTTGAAGCAAGTCTAGCCTCACAAAAGGCCTCAGAGGTGGCACTCCAGTCACTTGAGGGGTCTTCGGTCATTCTGAGACCTAACTACACAAGACAGCCCTTGGAAAACTGACCTTCTCTCCACCCCTGACTCTGATCGGCACAGCCATACTTTAAGGCAAGGGCCAGCACACTATGGTTCATGGGCCAAATCTGGCATGGTTTCTGTATTTTTAAATGATGAAAAAACAATTTTAAAAGACTATTTAGTGACACATGAAATTACATAGAATTCACATTTCCATGTCCATAAATAAAGTTAAAAAAAATCCTCATCTGAGGATATGTTTATTGATTTTTAGAAATATGAAAGGGGGGGGTGTGGGGAGAAAGAGAGAGAGAGAGAGACATCGATTGGTTGCCTCTCATAGGCACCCTGCCCAGGGAGTGCACATGCAACCTATTGGTGCATGAGACCATGCTCCAACCTGGCCAGGGCCATAAAGAAAGTTTTATTAGAATACAGCTCCACCCTATTTGTTTATATATTTTGAACTACAAATGTGAAGAAAAGTTTTCCGACTCCTCTTAAAGCAAAGTGTTGGCATTAGTGATTCTAACCAGATTCTGCAGCCAGGTTCAGCTATGCATCCTCACCCCAAAGCAACTTTCTATCCAGTTTATTCTAGTGGATTCTTGTTGCTTGTGTTACTAAGTCTAACTAATGCCTTAAAGGCATGGTTCTGACTCTCCTCATGTCTCTCACTTTCCTATTCAGTCATAACTTCTGCCTCTCCATTCCTAGGGTGAGTGAAAGAACCTAGTGTGAAAATTAGTTCCAATGACACATGAGGTAAAATCAGCTCAAAGCAAACATTTTTCTGCCAACTGTCTCCTTGCTTCTTTCCCTCCTTTTGCATTCACCAACTGTTCTAAGTGTCCCCTTCAGTCACCAGGGGATCTAAAACATCTTGGCATAATCTAAGCACCAAAGATCTTAAAAGGGGAAGTTGCCACTAGGTCTTTACTAAAAACATTTCCTAATATTTGTTTCACTACTAACTAAACTTAGATATTAAAAATTTAGGACCTCAGTTAAAAATAAAACTGTTGTGTGCATATAAACTTTTTGTTGCTACCCACATGCTATACCGAACTCAGTTGCAAAATAAAAAACAAACCTTACTTAAGAACCAATTTGCAAACTGGAGTCAATTAACTAGGGTTACGCTTCAAAAACTAATTGTGTTCATTCGTCAATAATCAGCTATCCTGATTGGAATTATTTTAGGGAAGTTGTAAATCAGCACAGATGCTACTCAGGTAGTTGCCATCTAAAGATCAAAACAAATACTCAGAGCACCTTCCAGAAAAGTTAACCAACAAACAAGCCAATGGTGTTTGAGGTGAGATCCAGAACTCCAGCCCAGGAGTTGGTCAGCCTGAGAAGTACACACTGCTGAGAGCCTGCACCTGAGAGAGGCTGTTGCATCTTTCTGGAAGAGCACAGTTAGCCACAACTATGAGTCCCACATGTGAAGCACTCAGAACTGTTACCTCAGAACCATGGCAATGCATGGGACAGTGAGACTGTGTGAGCCCACACAGGTGATACACTCTTATACACCTCAACACAGCCACTGAGGTCAGCACTGATATTTCTCTTCAATGGCTGAGGAAGTCAGGCCCAAAGGGCTTACTTTACTTATGCAAAATCATAGAAGTAGCAAGTGGTAGAATGGGAGTGCTGTCAGGTTAGAGTCAGACCCCCAAAGCCACACTATCCCTGCCTGGGCCCATCCATGGCAACCAGAGGGGATCACTTGATTTGCCTTCCCCATATTTAAGGGAGAAGAGGTCTGGCTGATCTCTGATCTTTTCCAGAGCTTAGTCTTTGCTTCTGCATTCATTGCGCAGCGATTTATTCTGAAGCCCGCAGCATTAAGTTGTTTCCTAGATGTTCTGCTGACACTTTACCTATGGAGAACCAGCATCCTCCTCTGTGCTTTCTCTTGAAGTCGGAGGATAATTAGAGAATAAAAAGAAGGGCCACAAAGGGCCAGCCCCAGTTCCTCTTGGTCCAGGCAGGACTCCCTCCAGCCATCAAACCCACTCCCAGCCCACAGGGTCGAAACCCGAGGACTGAGGATTCCTAAAGGTGTGGGCCGGTCAAAGTTACTGCATTCATTCTTGCAACCTGAGTCTGGGCACCTCAGGGCCCTCCGCCTCTGCACCCCAGGAGCGAAGACACCACCTGGCAGGGCGATCCCGCGCCGGGTTACTTCCCCGGAGCCCTCAAGCTCCAGCTCCACTAACGCCCGGTCGCTCATCGTCGCGGCGACGTGCCCCTGACCGCGCCCGCGGTGCCACCCCTCCTGGCTCGGAGTGCAGGTCCGCGAGTCGCAGGTGACCAGCGTCGCACTCCGGCCGGACCCTTGACGCCCCCTCTGCAGCTCCCTGACCGCGCAGCTCGTGCTCTCAGAAAACCCCGCCCCAGCCCGGACGCACGATCCTACCCATGGTGACGGCTCCAAGGGCTTCCTGCGACTGCCAAGCGAGGAATCTAGGACGGAAGACCTTTTTTCAAGGTGTTGCTCTTTTGACTTTATTTCCAGGCCCTGCCCAGCCACCTGCATGGCTGAAGGTGTGCGGGCGGGGCGGCCAGACTCCACCCAGGAAGCAGAGGTTAGCGCTCCTTCAGCCTCGGCAGAGGGACACAGGTCCCGTGCCCAGCCCTGGGCCGTCTCTAATCCGCCCCAGGTCCTTGGGGGAGGGCGAGGGGCAGGGCCACAGGTGGCAGCGGGAGGCCTGAGCTAGGGGCACCCGAACGTGAGTGCCCATCTGAGTCACCTGGAGGGCTTATTAAAACGCGGGTTCCAGGCCTCAACTCTATTTGCTGACTTGGTAGGTTGAGGGGGTGGGCCCCATAATTTGCATTTCTGACAAGTTCCAATGTGATTTTGCTGCTGCTCCTCAGGACTCCACTTTGCAAACCACTGCACTGAGAAAACACACTTCTGCAGGAGGAAGCAAAGTGGATAGAGCATTGATCAGTTTCACAGAGGTGCCAGCCTGCACCTATGTGTAGCTTCACCTGGAGTGTGAACCTACAGAAAGCATTTCTGGAGGATTCTACCTATTCTTTTGAGGCAGGATAGTAAGAAGCTAGGAAAATTCCTTGGCAAGTGGAATGGGGAAACTGAGGCAGGTAGATGAACAAACTGGCTGAACAATTTACAGCCAGATATAGAAGACCACCAGGGTAGAAAGTCCTTGGTGCCTGTGAACTGACAAAACTGGTGCTGCCTGGCCCCCAAGGAATCCTTTCCTCCCTTGGCATCTTTCTGGCCTTGTGGTTTAGACCCCTAACCTTTTCTCCTAGAGATAACATCTAGGCCTCAGTTGTATTTCAGCTCTAAGCCCAGAAAAACAGCAAAACCAGGCAGGTGTTGCCAGGAGCAGCTGAAATGACTAATAACCCCCTTCCCTGGTGCTGACCAATCAGTGGAAACCATGACACTAAAAAGGCACACCTGGAAGAGCTGATGAATATTCTGTTGTGATCCTCCCCTAAGACCACCCCTAAACTCCTGGACTTTAAAATCGTCAAGCCAAAAAACCCAGGACTCTTCCTCTGGGTAACATTTCTTTAGAGCAATGTGCCGCAGCAGCTCATTCTGGGCTAACCCCTTGAACCTGTCTCCAAGGCCCCCTTTCCTCTGACTCTCCAGTGAGCTGACAGCAGCCCAACCTTGCTTCCCATCATGTTCCTAGAGAGCTAAAGCAGTTCTGCCTAGTCTCCTGTTGCCTCTTCTGTCAGAGACCTTTCCTTGTTTCCCCATTCCCAGCTTTAATAAATACACTCACAAAATCACCTGGACTCAGTCTGAGCTGGTACCCTTTTTGATAACACTTTCATTAAAAATAACAAAAACAAAAATAATAATGATATAATGATTAAATTAACTCCAGATTATTTTTCTGTTTCCTTGTCTGACTTGAGAGATGTGTGCTCTGCAAACAGTGAGAGGAAAATTTAAAATGGAAATAAAGGTGAGTTTCTATTGCCTTCAGAAAATCATGGTAAAATATTCATAACATAAAAATTACCATCTTAACCATATAAGTGTATACTAAGTTCCATGAAGCACATTTACATTGTTGTGCAAATACCACCATTCATTTCCAAAACTTTTTCATCTTTTCAGGCAAACTCTATTCAACACTACCTATTAAACACCAACTCTCTACTCCCCCTTTCCTAGCCATTGGCTGTCACTCTTTTACTTTCTGTCTATGAATTTGACTACTCTAGGTATCCCATATAGCTGGAATCAAACGTATTTGTCTTTTTGTGTCTGGCTTCTTTCATTTAGCATAATGTGTTCAAGGTCCAACCATGTTGTAGCATGTGTCAGAATTTCCTTTTTTTTTTTTTTTTTAATGGAATGGTATTCCATTGCACACACATACCACACTTTGTATGTATCCATCCCTCTGTCCCTATTAACTTTTGTCTTAGCAGTTCCTCCAGCTTGACTGGAAGATTGCAGTAGGAGAGAAACCCTACTCTTTCTCCAAAGGCAGCTCTTCTTCAAAGGTGCCTGGACCCACCCTTTTCAGGCTTCTTCATTGTGCATGAGGAGGAGAAGCCTCTTTATGCAGTGGCTTAATTGATACGCACAGGGCAGCAGCTGATGTTACCAAAAGGCATGGAGCTATAAGTAGAAAGACTGCATCAAATAGAAACATGCAGCATTCACTGAAGGAAATATAACTTGCTTTTGAAGGATTAGAAGCATACTTCATAGTTGTGCTGCCATCAGATAAGCCAGGGGTAGAAAGGAAAAGCTTGTTATAGTTTCTTTTGATTAAAGTTTTCTCTGCAAGGTGGTATTTCTGTTGATGAGCTCATGAAGCTCAGAATCCTGGGTACTCATATAAGGCCATGTTAACCTAAAAATAAAAGGCCTTTCAAAGTGAGAGACAACAAGCATTTATTTGAGATCAAAGAATAGCTATGGGGAAGCACTGATGCAGGCAGAACCTCAAATAATATTCCAATTAGGGGACAAAGGCAATGGGTATTTGAAAAAGGTAAGGAAGGTAATTCTATCAGTGCAGATGAGCTAACATAGCAATGCTAATTCCAAACCATTTCCAGTGGGCAAAATAACTGCTTTCTTGGTATCTTTGCAAACAGCCCCTTGAGGCACAATGTTGCTTTAGGCCCAGTCCGAAGGTTATATTACCCTGTTTAGACATTCCAAAGGTTTGAGGCATGAGATGCTCGAGGTAGTTCCTCTGGAATGGCTGCTCCAGCTCCATTTTAAAGTGGCTCTGTTTATATTATTATTATTATTATTATTATTATTATTATTATTATTTTACAGCCAGTGACTCTCAAAGTAGTATCTGAAAGGATCAAGTCATTGCCATTTTCTATGGTGGCACCATTTGCTGAACAGACCTATGACTTTGTTAAACATGACTGCCATTTTACTCTTCTAAGCTTATGTCCCTAGGACTGGAAGTCACTGGAAAGCAAAAGCAGAATATGACTAAGTGACTAACTGGCTCCCTACAGCCACAGGCAAATGATAACATTGGGACAAAATTCAGACCCCAGCAGCCAAGGGGCCTCACAACAGCACCCCTCTTTTATAATCCAATTATAATCCATTTAAAACTCAAAGCCCCCACCCCTCAATGCTGGTGTATCTCTCCACATCATGCCCCTCTCCTTTCTTGGAGAGTGAATAAAATCTTTACTCTCTACCCTTTTTTTCTCTTTGTGAATTCTTTCACAGCCTGTGTCACCAACCACCCTAACAGGGTCCCCAGATCAGTAGCATCTTATTACCTGGGAACTTGTGACAAAAGAAATTCTCAGGCCCCATCCCAGATAGACTGAATCAGAAACTCTTTACTGAGATGCAGCTCACTTTTCAGTACTCATGGGGCAAATGATATTTCTTCCACGTGATTATTTAAATCTAGCTATTATTTATTTATCACCTCCAAGGGCAAAGTGCAAACAGCCCTACACTCACAGAGCTTATGTTCTTTGTTATCTTTTAAGCATGATAAGAAGAGAATAGTTATTTGAGATGGAGAAGCAAAAATAAAGACAAATACTGAAAGGGTAGAGAGACAGTGCTCTTCCAGAAGAGGCTGTAGGGGGATCCTTGCCTACCTCTTCCATCTTCTGGTGGCTCTAGGCATCCTGGGCTCATGGCAGTATTAATGGGGGACTCAAAAGTTGGAAATTTTTTGTTTTAGGAAATAGTTTGATAAGGCTAAGTAATAAATGCATGTGAAAAAGCTGTTGTTTCAGGTGCTGCAGCCACAGCCCAACCTGACCCCAGGAAATCAGTAATTGATCTTTGTGCTCCACAAGAGACAGACGACAGCCCTGGAGCACAGCTGTAGAAAACTGACTTTGTGTTCCAGGGAGAGAAGACCTCCTAGGGCGGGAATGCCGCAGTGTTTTTATTTTTCCCCTAATTTTCCCTGAATTCCAACCCCCTCACCACACTTTGTTCTCTGTTATAAAAAGGCCTACTTTAAAGAAAAGGTAGGATGGTCCATTAGGGTACAAACCCACTGTCCTCTCAGATTTGCCAGCCACCTGAATGAAGCACACATAAAGATTCAATTGCTGTCTCTGCTTATTGGGTCTGATAGGTGACAGGCAGCCCAAACGCTAGCTTTTCCCATTTCAGTATCCCTCCAATCTGTCTCAGTCTTCACTTCCCCTTTTCCTCTGTGTCTCCTAAGGGCACTCTTCATTAAATTTAGGGCCCAACCTAATCTAGGCAGATCTCATCTCAAGATCCTTAATTCTTTCTTTTTCCAAATAAGGGCATATTTACAGGCTCCAGATGAATTTACTTATCTGGGGCAGTGGTGGAGGGGGGCATTGGACCCACTACACATCCCCAAAGTGCCCCACCTGTGGAACTGAAATGTGCAAAACTGGCAGGCTGGTTCTGGATATATAGAACTGCTTCTTGGCCTCAGAGGATTGTCCTCATGAAAACTCCTGAGGGAGAAGTGAATGTTAGTGGTAGCAATAAGATCAGCACAAAATGGTTGCATTAAAAGTCTTTTAAACCCAGGCCTTTCATAATCTCTTTTACTGAAGCAATGGTACAGAGGTTTCATAGGGTTTATTTCAGTGAGAATGCTAACTGGGAAGGTGGCTTGTGAACTTTTTGGAGTAATAGAGTATCATTTTTCCTAGCTCTGTCCTTCAGATTTCTTGACTGTAAAGACTTTTTAATTTGGTCTCAGAGGAAAATTGAGTAGAAGCCTTTTTTTAATAAAGCAACTAGAATCACAGCAGAGATGCTGATGGTTAATGGGAGAACTTTAGAAATAAACAAGCAAAAAAGTGGGTCCCACTGCTATGTATTTGAAAAGAGTGAGAGATTCTGTGAAATGGCCTGGGATGGGGAAAGGAAGAATTTGAGATCCGAAGACATACTAAAGGCCATTTGGAAAACAGGTTCCAGGAGAAGAAAATCAGCAACCAGCTCAAACTGATTCAGATACTTGTCTGGTTTTGCAACCCATGCCATTTCTGCCAGATCCCAGTGCCTTGCACATGGCTGCTAAGAACTATTTGGCAGAA